CACACACACACACACACACACACACACACACACACACACACACACACACACACACACACACACACACACACACTCGTGCAGTTGCGCCGCGCACACCTCTGATGGATCATACAAATTGAGCGGAGCGCTCTGGAAACATGGCTGCAGCGCACTTGTGAGTGGAGACAGGGGTCCGCGCGTGAGGGGGGCTGCGCTTGTGTTTTTGGGTGAATGAGTAACCCCAGAAACGGACAGAGCCAAAGGAAGAAGTAAGAGGTGGGGGAGAAAGAGGACGAGAGGCGGGAACAGGTTTGGGGATCTTGTTTGAAATCAGAAGGAGGTGGGGGGRAGGTGAAGCAAATAGCTCCTCCGTGGCCGATCGATCAGCATTTCGCGCTCCCTTTGAGGATTTGATGGATGTTTGACCAGTGGATGTGATGCCCATATATATCATCGACCGAAAATTTCCCGACATATCTGGTAAGGAGCTCTCGCAACCCTGAGGGTTACTTACGCGGTGTCATCTCTAGAGGGCACGTGTGCTTGGACTGGTGCGTGCGCGCCCTCTCATTTTTCTTATTGGTGTTTTTTTTTTTTTTAATTGCTTGTGCGCCCTTGCCGGTTGGGTGACACGGGGCAGCGTGCACTAGTTGATCATGCCACCCCTCTCGGAGTTCCCACTGTGCAACAGGAGATGGAGCTGGCACGCATTCAGCTGTGTGCTGCTTCTGCTGCTGCTGTATATATATTTTTTTATCACTGGAGTTTAACTCTTGGTTAAATGTGTTCCTCTCGGGAAACATTGGTTCAGTTAGAGTATCCTCTCTTACTTTGTGGTACAGGATCTCTAATGGACTAATGATGTTGCTGTGTTCGCTGTCGTGCCCCTTTAAAAGTTATTTTTACTGTTGCATTTGTGCTGCTATTGCAAAAAGTGATAGGAAAGCAGTTTAGGAGGTGTGCTACATCTCAGCGAGATCACATCACCTCCGGGTATTTAGACTCCTCTCTAAAGTGGTGCTGAGAACCAGACCTCATTTATTCTGTTAATTCAAAAAATTGGCCACATTCTCACTGATCTTAACTCATTTAAGTACATGATGTACATAGCTCTCTTAGAAGATAAAAAGTGACTATTAAGCCAGTATTGGGTCGTGTGTGTGTGTGTGTGTGTGTGTGTGTGTGTGTGTGTGTGTGTGTGTGTGTGTGTGCGTGCTTTTGTTACCTATTTAGGATTGTTTCCGGTATCCACACC